ATCGACCGTCTCGCCGACCCCCCCCCCCCCAGCTCTGACTTGTGCTGCGATCGCACCAAACTCTCCCAAGCTGCCGTGCCATCCGTCTCGATCGCAAACCTGGTTAGTAGAAACCCCACGTGCCTGACCAACCACGGCGTGATCAAGCTCTCCGGACCTATCTTCATCTTCAAGTTGAACTCCAACTCGCTGCGCAAGGTCCGAAGTAGCGACTCCATTCTCGCCACCGCGCTCGCGGTCGCCCCGTTGCTTTGGCGGCGACCTTGAGGCGCCCTCTCCACCTGCGTGCTGTGCCCCCCCCCGTTCTTCACCGCCGTGGTCACCGCTTGTAGCGATGGCTCTTGGTCACCCTGCAGGATGACGTCCGCTGCGCCCCGAACGTCCAAGTAGAACCCCACCGCTGAGTTGACGAATTTGCTGGGCCCTCTGTGGATGACCATGATCGCTGCCACCGCGTCCTCGGGCTTCTGAACCGTCGCCAAGAAGTTGACCATCTCCGCCTCGAACTCGGCGTTCACGAAACAGTAGTCCACAATAATGACTGGAATCGCCGGCGCGTCCTCTGGGTTCGTCCACCTGTGGCCTTCCTCCTTGCCTCGGCCCCATAAGCACCACTTGCACCAGTCGCGATACGGCATGCGCGTCCTCTCGTGGGTCGCGATCTCCTCCGCGGCCGGCATGCACCTTTCCTTCTTGGCCTTCGGGATCCGAGCCTCCTCGCCCCCCGCTGACTCTGGGCGTTCAACTTCAGATCCTTCTCCTTGGACGCCCCCCAGCGGGCAGGGCGCCCTGGCGCCCGCGCCAAGGATGTAGATCCCTCTCCTCTTGGCGATCGCCAGCGGCTTGCTCTCCACGTTGCGGCGAGCCCCTTCGTCGATTCGTCGATCATCTTCTTGATCCTGTTGCCCACCTCTGAGTCCACCACCGCGCCGCCATTCTCGTCGAACCAAACTCCTTGGGATCCCTTCGCCAGGTCGCTGACCGCAATGATCGTCGCGCGAACATATCGCACATCGAATTGTCCTCGGATGGGTTGTCGCGCACCTGCCACCTGCACCTTGATCGCATTGCAACTATCCGCGTAGATCTTCGTTTCGTCTGCTTGTCGTAGCGGTGGGGCGCCCGCTTCTTCTCGTGGCATTCGCGGTGAGAGCCCTGGCGGACAAACACTCCTAGCTGCACACGAATCGACCAACACCTCGATCTTCCCGTCGTTATCTCCCTCGCAATCTCCAATCGGAATCACGTATCTCTCGACGTTCTCGTCGCCAACGTAATTGGGCCCCTGCGTGTTCCCTAGAAACTGTTCGTCCTCTTGATCCGCCATCACCTTTGACTCCTCATTCGCGCCCTCTGTCAGGGCGAAGACGTAGCCCCCCTCGGCGTCGCAGTCGTACCCCCGGTACTGCATGTCCTGATCCTCCGGCTTGTCGGGGGGGGGGGGGGGGGGGGGGGGGTCTTCGGCTGCTCCTGCTCGTCCTTTCCGCCCTTGCCCGTGCCTTTGCTGACCTGTCGAAGCTCCTCTTTCGTGACCTTGCCGTCTTTCATGTCCTGCGTTGCCTTCCTGCACTCCATCAACTTGTGCCCATTCTTCCCGCAGTACTTGCATGGCATGTTCGTCGGGTTGTTGACGTAGCCTTTGCCTTTGCCCTTGTCCTTGCCGAACTTGCTTTCGCCGTCCTTTTCCACGCTTGCCGAACGTCAGCGCATCTAGGCCCACGGGAGCAGGTCCACTGAGAGCCATCGCCGCCTGCTTCGACCTCAGGTAGCTCAGCACCTCGGCCCGAACCAGCGCGCAAGTTGTGAACCGCGTCGCGTTCAGCATCAGATGCTCTCGAAGTTTGCTCGGCACCAACCGAGTACTGAGCACCGACTTCTCGATCGACTCCATGAGCTCCCCATAGCGCTGCACGAGCGCCCCCCGGAACACGACGCCTTTGATCGGATCGTTTTCCTGCGCGCGCGGATGAAAGATCGAGCCCAGCATCCCCGAGAAGCTCGACGGCACCTTGGGCTCGAACTCCACGCACAGTAAGCGCCGTGCTTCATCACGATGCCCTGCGCCTTGTCCTGGCACGTCAGCACAAGCATGTTATACAGGTTGGCGTTGACTCGCTGAGCCTCTTCGTATAGATCTTCATGCGAGTAGGCCTCAGCGTCCACCTTCGCCGCGTCATTCATCAGCTCTGCCATGCGCGGGCCCGCAGCCACGCAGATGGCTGCCAGAGCAAAACTCAAGTTAGCCCACGTGACTCCGTCCATGTACTTTGCGTTCTCGTCGAGCTCACCTGAGAATTTATCGGGCTTCCCGAGCAGCATCGTGTCTACCAGAGATTCCCCTGAACTCCCTGTTGAGCAGCTCCGCCCTCAGCTCTGGCATTCGCTTCCCGTAACGGTTGCTCCAGTCGAGCGATCTGATCTCCCGGCTGGATCGCTACACCCTCCATAGCTGTGACCCGTCGCAAAACCTCCCCTGCCGAAGCCATTGAATTCGCGAAAATGGTGGAGCCTGGCCGTGGGAAACCAGGCTCCGCTACCATGCGGAATGGCGAAGCCAGTGGATTCTTTTTCTTGAACCAAGCGGTTTCAGTACAAATAATACCGGCCCGCGTCGAGTGAAACCCTGCAAACATGGTCAAACAATGGTATGGGGACGATTGTTCTACTATGTTTGACCATGTCTAAAAATTATTGGCTGATGCTTCCCCATGTTTGTCCAAAAGCCGCCGGAAGGGGACATGCCCGACCTAGCGCCACTGCCCCTTCGCCAAGTCATCGGAATCGGGACCGCGCGACAGCGTCTTTCGTTCGAACGGTGGGAAGGCGCGTGGGTCTCAGAACCAAATCGCGCCACAACGCATCCTTACGGGATGGAAGAAGGGTGGAGAAGGGTGGGGCCCGCCGACTCCTTCGACCTGGCTAGAGACTGATCCTCGTCCTACTCCGCTTCCCCCTGCGCCCTGACAGACAGGCGCGCGCGCATACATTTTCACAGAAATAAGAGAATGAAGAGAGGGAGAGAGAGAGAGAGAGAGAGAGAGAGAGAGAGAGAGAGAGAGAGAGAGAGAAGAGAGAGAGAGAGAGAGAGAGAGAGAGAGAGAGAGAGAGAGAGAGGAGAGAGAGAGAGAGAGGAGAGAGAGAGAGAAGAGAGAGATAGAGAGAAGAAAGAAGAGAGAGAGAGAGAGAGAGAGAGAGAGAGAGAGAGAGAGAGAGATGCACGGCCGCACGATACGCTCGTCAGGCCGTCGCTTATGGCGCTCCATCGTGTAAGGCTTGAGATCAGGCACGCGCTTTGGAAAGTGTGCCACTTACCAGAGACTGCAGAATATTGCAACGTGCCATGTGAATATGCCCCCAGAAGGTTGCAACGCGCCATGTGAATATGCCCCCCGCCCCCCCGCCTCTGGGCTCATGAAAGGCAATGCCTGCTACAGGCAAGAAAAAGCGAAAACAGGCAAAGTAGCAACATGGATAGGGAATAGGGCACATTCCAAAATACCACCCACCCCAAACAAGTAGCTACCAAACTACCCACCAAAGTACCACCCCCGAAAAAAAGTAGCTGCAAAACTACCCCCCCCCCCCCCCCCCCCCCCACACACACACACCCACCGCTCGAACAGATATGTCGCCGACGTCGGCGCGCTACGGCTGCAGAGTTGGGAATATTGCCAGCCGAAGCTGCTCGAAGGAATTCGGGTTACATCCTGGGCGGGGCAATTGGCGACGATATCCTCGGCGATCGCACTATCTCGGACAAGCGGGCAGACGGGACCTCACGGGCGAGCCGCACGAGCGTGGCGTCATAACAGGCGGATCACCTCTCGAACAACTGAGCGGGTGGACCCGCGCGGGCAGGTCGGGCGGCCCGGGCGGGCGGGCGGGCCGCGGCAGGGAGGTTGCGCGGGCAGGCGGGGGGGAAGTCAGTTCGAATATGCAACCTTACCATGGCCATTCTCGGTCGGCGGCTTTATCGACGTGGCGCGGGCTCTCACTGCAATGAAGGGGCGGCGCGGACGCGCGAGAGAATTTCGCCCCTCCGATGCAACTACTCGGCTTTCACAACAATGTCTGCCGAAACCTAACAACACGCCGATCAGATGGCCACAAGATCGCCGCGCGAGGCTCCGAGAGGTCCCCGGGGCACCCCCAATAATACTTGAAGTGCGTCTTTAATGAGCCCCAGAGGCACTCCTGGGGGGAGCACAAGGAAACCACCTATTGCATCAGAGGGGCTCGCGAGCCAACGCCCCCACCCCACGACCAACCGCTGACCTACAGGACCATGGAAAGCAACGCCCTCGCAGCCCCAAGATGACCCCTAGACAGCCCAATCATGGCGCCCGATGCCACTGCCATGGCCCATGAGGACCCCAGTTATCCCCAAGCAGTCCCCAGCGAGCCGCCACCCCCCCCTAAAGAGGCATGCAAGGCCACGGTCGCCAGGTCGTGGACTCGCACTGGGCCGAACGCCACCGATGTCAGAGGCGGTCGGTTCAGGAAGGGCCGGCGGATATACGCGAAGCGCCATTCGTAACAACAATGTCATGCTGTCTGAGTCCTCCTCCTCCTCCTCCCCTCCTCCTCCTCCTCCTCCTCCTCCTTCCCCCTCCTCCTCCTCCTCCTCCTCCTCCTCCTCCTCCTTCCCCCCCCCCCCCCCCCCATCCCCCCACCCACCCACATCCTCCCCCTCGTTCTCCCCCTCTCCCCCCCCCCCCCCTCCCTCATCTTCCTTCATTTCCCACTTGGGCACGGGGTGAAACATCATTCGGACATCCGCGAAACAATTTGCGAGAGCGCCAGGCGAGGATGACGCGGGGAAGGCCGAGGGCAACGAGGTGGGAAGAGGTGGGAATGAGAACGGGGCGGTCTGGCATGGAAACGTGGAGGAGGCGGTGACATGTTGTTGCGCGCAAGCGCTGGCGAGAAAGCCTCGCGGGCGCTGATCCCAGCGCTGTGGCTGGCGACGTCGCGCCGACGCACCGCCAGCTGAACTCCTGCTAGGCGCTACCCTTGGGCGAAGCCAACTTCGCGGCCCACTCCGCCACGTCCTTGCGCATGGCGCCGACGGCGTCGGCCTCCGCCGCCCCCTTGCGACACGCGTTCACTATGCTGCGCATCTTCGGCGCCTGGCCAGCGCGCGCGTTGAACGCGTGCACCACCGGCGCCGTGAACTTGGCGGAGCTCGCCGCCCTCATCGCGACGACCGCCTCCTTGGTCGCCTCCTCAACCTGCTGCGCCTCGAGGACCTGCGCCCACCCCACGGCGCGCCTCTTCGCGTCGAGGACAGCGTCGATCCGCTTCTGGAAGGAGCCCCCGTCGATCTGCAAGATCGTCTCCTCCACGCGCTCCAGAACCGAGTCCATGTCCGCGTCCGCACCCAGGCCCTGGTCCCAAGGCTGGTCGAACGCCTCCGTGCCCGCCGCGAACGGCTTCAACGCCGCCGTCGCAGCCTCCATGGCATCGGCCACGATCGCCATGCACACATTGGCCGCTGAGTTCATCTCCTCGGTCGCCGCCGCCACGTCCGACTGCGCCCAGATCACCTCTGCCACCAAGCCAGTGGACTGCATCGCCATGGCCGAAGAACGGATGCTTGTCACCAGGTTTGCCAAACCATCCTTGATCAGCCGCACCGCGTCGTCGCTACCAGACTGCGCCCACTGAGCGCGCTGCTGCGAGAGGGGGGCCCAAGCCTGAGCATGGTAATCACCTTGTCGAGATTCACCGCCGATTCGCCAGCCAACCAATTTGTCTCCGCAAGCGTCATCAATGTGTGCAGATACGGTGCAGCCTCCGTCGGGGCACGGACAGACTGGCAGATCACCGAGTAGACCTTCCTGAAGATGGTGGCAGCGCTACCCCTGTGGACCCCCACGCCCCTGCCGCCAGCGGCCAGCACGGACTCGATCACTGGGAGCACCTCCTTGACCTTATCGAGGTTCATCAAGATCTCGTCGTTGAGGGACACCGCGAGCTGCGCCAAGCCCTTCCTGGCGCTGAACTGGTTGATCTCGGACTCCTTCTCTTTGATCTTATCCATTTTCGTCGCCCACAATGAACCCTTCTCTGGGATGCTGGTCTTAGCGATGGCGACCAATGCCTTCGCATCGGCCAGCATGGAAGTCCGCGCGGAACCATCGCCTCGGCGAGGGCACCGCAAAACAAGTAACCGTTAACGTGTTCGTCCAACTTCGCGCTCTCCTGTTCCTTGAAACGAAGCAGCCTGGCCGACAGTACGTCACGACGTTCGGCAACAGCTCGAGCGCTGCCTTCAGAGTCCCCGGCTGCTCTACCCCTCTGACGTCCGTCGCCGCGTTCAGGGTCGCCAGCAGCTGGACCATATGCGGGAAAAGCTCGCTCGTCTTCAAAAAATACGGGTCGAACTCATCCTGCGCAGAACCCGCGCTACACCAACTCGGGGACGGGGTCCGCGCGCGTCGAAGCTACCGCGGCCAGCGCGGATGTTACGACAAGTGGGTGGGCTGAGCTTCGAGCTGGACGTGGGAGAGCGCGGCTGGCTCGATGGCGGGCTGGTTCGCCGTTGAGGGGGCACGCAGGGTCTGAAACCCATTCGACGCGCGCGGCCTCAAGCAGCTCCGCCCGCGATCGGGTCGCCCACCCCCTCTGCCGCCCGTTGCGGAGCCCACGAGGAACTTCGGCCCCAGACCCCAAGGGACTTCAACCTTCACATCCCGCCCCCGACCCAGCTTGACAACCAGAAACAGCCCTGGGGAACCACTGCCCTTCCCCCCCCCCCCCCCCCCCCCCCCCCCCCCCCCCCCCCAGAAAGCCCCGACATGCGCGGACACCCGCCCTCGGACGCTCAATGCGGGATTGGCCTTGAGCGCTGCGTAGTGCGCCGACCGCTTCACCGCCAAGCTCAGGCGGCGCAAGCACGCCTTGCCAACCTCCGTCGACTTCGCAGCCGCCATCTCCAGCAGCGCGTCTTTGCACTCCAGGCGCACGGGGTCGGCGATGTACGAGGTTGCCTCCAAGCACGTCGTCGTCGCCGAGACGTCGTCGTCAAACTCTTCGTCAGCAGGACACTTCTCGTCGAGCCAATCGAAGCACTTGCTGCAAAATCTGACCAAGCTGAGCTGCCCCACCTTGCCACTCTGGATGAACTGGGCCAACGCTTCCATAAAGAAACCCTCGCCAACAACGATCTTGTCCGACAAGCTCCCGTCGCACGTGAGCACCCGTGGACGCGTGGGCGTGTACCTGGCGTCGCTCATGTCACCTTCAGCTTGGACTCCCCACGGTACGACGATGACAAAGAACTCATGCACGTCGAAGTCGCCACTCTTGATGAACTCGGTGACCTTTCAGGATGCGCTAAGGGGCGGTGCCCGAACAAGAGAGGCTGGGCTGGGCCAGCGGGGTGGCGCCCACCTCGGCGCCCCTGGCCTAGCCCAACTTCTCTTTCGGGCAATCACCAACGCAACAACCGCTTGACCTTGAGCTTGAGTGCGTCCAGCTTCCACTTCGATGGCATGTCCTCGCCCCCCACCTCGATGGCCTTCAGGAGGCTCTCCAGCTTGGCCTTTGGCAGCGTTGCCATCGGTTTTTCTCGACCAGCTGGCAGATCGCGTCGCATACAAGGATGTGCTCATTCAGCGTGTCCGCCACCTCGCTGCCCTGCGGGTTGGGGCAGCCCTCCATGATGGTCTGGTGGCTTTCCCTCGCCCAGCGGAGCTCGCGGCCCATGGCGGCGACTGGCCAGCACCTGTTCACGCCCAGGGCGGCGATGCGGCGCCCCACGAGCTCCTCCACCTCAGATTGCTTCCCCTCCGCCGACATCGCCGCCGACCCGGCTGCCCCCCGTGGCTCTGCGTCTGGAGTGCGAGGCCCGCGGCCACCCTCGCCCGTGAAGACGGTCCTCGAGCAAGCCATCGCACTCGGGTTCAGCATCGGGCCAGTCCCCGCAGCGGCCGCGGCCGCTGGCTGCACGCCACCTGGCGAGGCGCCGTTCGGGCTGGCAGACGGACTCACGCCCTGCTCCTCAAGGTGTTGAGCCCGCGCGGCGATCTCGGCCTGCGACATCCTGTACTGGCCCCCCTTGAGCTTCAACGACTCGAATGCGTGGTTCTCCGTTCGCGCCTTGACGCAGACGGTCTTCATCTTACCCTCCTGCGCCATCGCCTTGAGGAGGCCCACTTCGCAACTCGCGCACGGGTGTCCGACAGCGCCCCCTGCCCAGGCCGCCACCCCTATCGCCGCCCCCCTGGGGCGAAAAGGGCGGCGGCAGCGGGGGGTGGTCAAGGAGGCTGCAAAGAAGCTCGGCGACGACCACAGCACGACACACGGGCGCGCGGGAGGGGGGCGGGGAACGCCATTCGCACCAGCAAGTGGAACGGTGAGGGCCAGGAGAGGGAGAGGCACATGAGGTGCGCCAAGGCCCCCAAGAGGCCGCGAGGGCTGGGTGGCAAACGAAATCAAGATGGCGCGGCAACGGCGCTGCGCAACAGACGCTGTCGGACATCTGAACGCGAGTGGCCCAATGCCCCCCCTAACCGATTCTTCTTCACGTAAGTGTAGGTGCCCGCCGTCTGCGCCGAGAACGTCTGCTGAAATGGCTGCATCTTGTGCGTCGTCATCCTGGCGACGACCTGGCTGGTAACGTCGCACTCCAGGTGCGGGCGATTCGGGTTGGGCACCAGGGGACCCTGGTAGATGTTCCCCTCGTGGTCGGGCAGGCCCTGCAGCTCGATGCCCGTCTTCCCTGGCTCGTCGCGAAGCACGTCTGAGATGAGCTGCGAGCGGTTCAAGCCAACCATCGGCTTCGCGACCGAGACAATGAACTCCTGCCCCTCGTCGACAGACGTCGGGCAGAAGTGCGCGCGCTCGCCAAACTCGTTTCTCAAAGCCTCCTGCCAGCAGTCGTAGATGTGCGAATCATCGCCCTGCACGCCCGCCTGGACTACCTCCAGAGAGCCGAACTGCGTGAAGCCCTTCGAGTACCGATCGAAGCAAGCGATGCAGGACGGCACCGCCGCGCCCTTCATCTGCTGCGAGGCGCCGGTGGACCCGCACGCGCCGCGCTCGAAGCTGTCGCCCGCGAGTGCAGCGCGCGAGAGCGAGGCCGCGGCAGGCGATGCGCCCCCAGCGCCATCGCCGTTGCCAGGCCTCGAAACCTTGCGGCCGCGCCCACCGCCGCGGCGCGAGCCGCGGGGCTGGGCCGACGGCTGGCCGCGCTTGCCCCCCATGGCAAGGACGATCAGGAGTAGCTTGGCGGGCAGTAGTGCAGTTGGCACTGGGCCTGCCGGTAGAACTGACGCTGCCGCGCGACCAGCTCCATGGAGGCCAGGTTCGACCGTCGAACTTGTGTATGGGGTTGAAGTACAAGGGCACAGAACCCCTGATCCGTTGGTAGAGGGAAGGAGGGATAGATGGATGTCTTTCCCTCCACGATCAAAGGTCTGATCGATCTGTCCCAATACCTGAGCCCAAACGGCCAGGCGCAGGAGAGGTGAGGATAAGAGAGTATTATACGAGGGTATTACACGGGTTCTATTCACACCCCCCGCCCCGAATCCCGCCCGCGAGGGTAGGACTCGGGAACAGAGGAAAAGAATCCGTCACCCTTTTACTCCTTCAATCCTCAAGTCAGCAGGCAGCTGAGCGCAAGATCAGTATAGCCTCAGCTGCAGGGTAAGGTAAGAAGGAACACCCAGGGTCCTTATTTCTTCGCCAAGCACGCTTTGGTGCCCCCTCGGTGCGCCCCCAAAAAACGCTTCGGCACTCGAGGGCGGAGAAGAATGAGACACGGGTGGGCGGAGAAAGAGGATCTGAACCAGTTAAAGCGACATCAGAATCTGCCTCGCCTAAGCGAGGCAGGTGCTGCCACCAGCTGTCTGTAGAGAGCTGGCCGTCAGATCATTCTCAACGCAATATAAGCAGAGTCTAAAGAGTAAACGGTAAAAAAAAAATCATTCTGAGATCGTGTTGATGAGCACGATCGTGTTACGAAACACATCTATATATCAAAGCAAATGTCTGGCCAGACGCAAAGTCGTGTTGATGAACACGAAAAGTTGCATATATATAAATTCTGTATTTGGCGATTCCCATTGGCGTTGCTCCTTGGGAGGCCGCCGTGGTTATCGCAAAATATGTGTGCATGCGTGGCCACTTGTCTTAGATAGTGAAGTGGCCTAAAAGAATATAATAGCCACCGCTCAAGGCGAACTTGTATTATGATGACGTTCAAGCCTTTCGAGCGGTGGGCCTGGCGGCCGACTCTACTACGCGTTGCCCCTCTCGTAGAACCTGCGGTCCCACATCCTGTGGCCATCTTGCGACACGTAGCTCGTTTTGAAGGTCTCCCAGGGAGTCCTCGGGATCCAGTGGCGGAACCACTCATTGTACGGGATGTCGCGGACGTAGACGAACTCGTCGTTGTTGTCCGCGATGTATATCCAGCATTTGATGTAGTAGTTCCAGTATCTGGGGCCCCACTGGCTGTCCTCCAGCTCGTCGCGCCACCATGTAGCGTAGTCCTCCGCCATGCGCGCCCTCTTGGCGCGGGGAGGTGTAGTAGGTCTGCGGCTGCCCTCGCTGTTCTGCCGCTGCGCTGCAGTGCCGCGCGGCCCCGCGGGCGTGTAGTCCTGCGCGCCAGAGGCGCTGGACCCTGCAGCGTCGCCAGGGGCGGGGCGCGGCGGCGGCGGCGGGTGCCGCGGCATGCGTGGCTCCATGGCATCATCAGAGTACTGGGAGTGTGTATCAGGTTCGATCGGATCGGTTCCCATCCCTGAATCAACCCCCCTCTGGTCAGTGGAACCCAAGGCGGGTTCAACATAAGCAAGCGCGGCAAGCTTGCGCTGCGCGATCTCTCACGGGCGCCATCCCCTCCGAGAAGGGCAATCGCGACAAGTCCGCGTGCCTGCCGCGTGCTTCGGTCGAGTCTGCCTGCGTTCAACCGCCACTTCTTCCGACCAGCCTGGCCAGTCCTGATGCTGGTCTCGAGGATTTCACCGGCGTCGCGCACGTCCTCAATGGTATAGGCGTTCTTGCCTTTATTGACACGAGCGCCTGTCATTTGGTGGTGAAACTTCAACTCATTGAGAAAGCGCTGAATGAGATTGGCAAATGGATGGTATAGGGGTCTGTCGTCCTCACGCTCGCCCATCAATCTGCACATGTGTGCAGGAGGGGAGCCAGAGGCGACCCACTTCTCATACCTCTTCCTAGCGGAATTGGCCATTCTCCTCAGCACGTCTTTCTCATTGCCTGGAATAGAGCGCTTGCCCGTCATGATGACCTGCGCTCCGTCTCTCATGTACCTCGCGATGTCGCCCTGGGAGAGCGTCGTCTTGATCCAGTGGGTCAGCTTCTGGAGGTATGCCAGGTCGCTCTCGACAGCGGTACTTTTACCCGTAGCACCTACGGCAACAGTGCACTGCCAGCAGATGTCACAAAAGGAACCTTCATCTGCAACGATCCCTAGGGATAAGATGCGATCGCAATTCCGACATCGCGCGATATCATGCTGGATATCTTCTGGGGCTCCGTCAATCGTGAAGTGCCCACGAGATCCCCAGCGAGTTCCCCGACCACGAGCAAGACTGCGGCCGATCTGATCCATGGCATCGCGGTTGATCTCGGCGTTCGGTCGGGAAGCGATCGATCTGCTCATTCCCTCGATCTCGATCCTAGATAATCTTTCCCCTGGCAGTCCTACGCGCTCGGTCGTGTCGTTGTCCGCGTCATCAGTATCACAATGGCATACGTTTTCTGCACGGATACGGCTAGCCTCTTCCTGCAAGGCGGACTCGTTGTCAGCCTCCTCGCGGTTGATTCCCTTCTGTTCGGCTATGATCCGTACCATGGTTTCCTGATCTGGAGCTGCGGATGCAATGCTGCCTGGATCCCCGGGAATGTCCTGCCCCGCGCCTGGGTCACGTGGCGCGGCAGGTGTTTCCACCAGCTCCGCGCATACGGGGAAGCCTGGATTGCCGAATGTCTTGATGCAGTGTGTAAGTAGATCGCGCAACGTCTGGAGTGCAGGGTGGTTCTGATGAGTAGCATCTTTTGCGAAATCACGGAGCTCCCCAATACTGCCCAGCAATATGATTTGATACACTTTAGAGATCCATTGGAAGACGCCTGTAGTCGACTCCTCGATGACCTCTGGGTCCAGGTAGTGTACCAATTTTTTGAAGAAGCTATCTGCACTACAAATTGGTAAGTCGCGTGCCCATTTGTGGGTATGATTGTAATCCAAATAGTATGTCTCCGCGTTCCATGTTTTGGATTCGAATTGAATTTCAAATCGTAAGTACGACTGCGATGTATCCACCACAAATCTGTCCGCGCCAGTGTGCACCTCAATGATTTGTTTCACCTTTATCATAGGTGAGTCCACCAACAACTGCGATGTCCAGCGGTATCTGCGGTGGCCATATGATTGTTTGATCCACTTTGAGTCCTCCTCTGGGTCGTAGTCGGGGTGGTTGAGGAAGTCTTCTGGCGGGCCGATAATATTGTCGAGGATGCTCGCGTCGACGTGCTTATCTGCTTGGATCTCTGCTGATAAACCTGCTCTCATGTTGTCATTTGCCGCTTTCTCCTCGGCAGTGGGTGGTATCTTTGATATATCCACAATGACGGTAACCAGAGGTTCAGCAGATTGGCCTGCCTTTTGTTGGGGTCCATCGTCCGCGGAAGCAGTATCCTCGGCAGGTGTGGCCACCAGCTCTTCGGGATCGGGTGTCCGAGGAGCGGGCCGTCTGGTCGGCGTACGTGGGATACGTGGCTTATAAATGCTCGGCATTCCGAGATATGGTAGATCACCATCTGTTTTATGCTGATGTATTTTGTCGCGGCATGAGGATGGTCCTTCCAGCGCAGCATTCATATCTCTCGGGTCGATGTCGGCACGTACTGGCAAAGCGAAGACAACACCCTTGAGAGGCATGCTTTTGTCGTTGTACCATATGTTTACCCATCGTAAACCGTAGTTGAGGATAGGTATTTGTGCCGCAAAGAACTTGTCAAAGACTCTGAAATGAATGATTGGGCCGTATATGTGGCCCTTGTTCATGAGGACCTTGGTGTTGTGATTGCCCTTGGGGTAGTGATTGTCATAATGATAACAATTGGTAGATCCCCAATTCTGAGTGACAATGAAGTCCCCCATGCGAACATCATTAAATATAGGCCGACGATTCCAATCTTTCTGTGTAATCTTTGATGTGATGGGTCGAAGGGCCTCTCGGCAGTATGACATAGCGATTAACCATTATTTATCTTCTGGTTTGTGCTCACATTTGGCGATCATAGCGCGGACCGTTTGTTCGTCCAAGGCGTCGGCGCCAGATATGCGGCCAGCAGGGGTTGCCCCCAGCTGAGGGGCAATCGGTCGCTGAGCCGAAGATGCTGATGCTGATGGTATCCTTGGCTGCTGATCCATGTCGTGATCCGTGTCAGCTGGTGTAATCCCAGGAGGGTGATCGATGAACTCCTGCCCAGGAAGAACGGCGCAAATCTCGCATTTGCTCAATGGTTGTCTTGCGGCCAATGGCGGATAGTCCCAGGACGGGCCCTCCGGCCATATCTGCTGGCCGTGCGTGTGGCGTGGTTGGAGACGGCGAATTGCAATGACTGCCGCTGCTGGAACCACGTCCTCTGTCATAATAGCGCCTTGAGCGCCCAACCAAAATCTGCAACCAGCTTTTGTGGCAATCTCCATGTTGATCACCAGCTCGACCTCGTTCATGTAGTGATTGAACTTGTATGACTGTACCGAGGTGTGGGGATTATTCTGGACATTGTCTATATGTGCTGGAACTGAAAAATGCCTCCGTGCGCGGTGATGGTTTATAATGCTTGTCTCTCTGAGAAGATGGATCGACGTAGCCGGGAATGATCCCTGTCTTGAGAATGTTGCGCCAAGCACGGAATGTCGTGCCATGGTGGAGGTATTTCACGTCTGTCCAGCGTGGGCTCTCCCAGCCCAGGTCCCATGGTTTGGACAGTGGATTGACGCAACTGTGGCCTCCGACACATCGAATGGCAATAACGCTGTTCCAATCGAAACAGCTGGGGTCGCCTCCTTCGGGGATTGGTTTGGCGTATATCTCGATCTGGTTCTTCTGCGGGTCAATATGTTTCTGGAACGCACGAATGATGAAGA